ATACTCCCCTTCTTGGTTTCGCTATACTCCCCTTCTTGGGTTTGTCAATCGCAAGACATACGAGCCGACTCATAAGAATCGGGTTGGGAAGTGCGCCTAGGTGCCTCCAAGTCAAGTTGCTGACCTTGTCGATCGCAATCCATGCTGGTTGAAGAGCTTGATTCAGGTCGTGTTTCATGGCCAAATGAAGAAAATGATAGCCACACTTTGCGATGGAGCTTCCGATACAGAAGAAATGGGATCATGAGCGGCATTATCCTGGGTTTTGAAGCAGCCAGCATCCTTCAACTTCTTAGGATTGGAGGAGGTCCCTCACTGTCACGACCCGGCCCGGTTAGCTCGCAAGTGCGAGGTTGGAACAAAGATCGGACATAAAGAAGATAAAAGAAACTTTACAAGACAATTAACATAACTCCAAAATGAAGCATCAACATAAAGAAAGAGCCACTACAATCTTCAAACATAAACTTTTTCTTTTCTTTCTTTCAAAAATCACCAATCGATGGATTTAGCATTAAGATTACAAAAAGATACAAAAGGGGATCCACAAGTATAACCTTTTTCTCTTACATTCTAATTCTAATCTTTCAATACAAAACATCAAAACACAAAAAAACCTGCCGCCCGTCGTCTCCCTACGACGGTAGGTGCGCGGTGGTTGGTCGGCCATTTACCCCTTCCTAGATCCTCCTGAAAAGTATTCCCACAACGAGGGTGAGTCTTATACTCAATAGGTGAGAATGTAAATTCAAATAAACTTAAAATCAAGAGAGGAAACTATAACATGCTTTGAGTATTTTAGCAAAAGAATCATCGATCATAAAACAATTTGTGCTCAAAGAAAAGCATACCTTTACCTCAACTTTCAAATGCTTAATCCTTCCATAACCTTTCCTTTCTTCCTTTTTAAAACATCATGCCTCAAGGGATAATCTCAATTACATGTAACATGTGTATGAAACATTCATAACAGTTTAATATATATAAAACTATAACACCCGTCTCAGGAGTATCACTTGTACTGATCAGGTACATATAAATTGGCCATTTCCTTTTCCATTGGTTCATAGGAACCATCCTTTTCCATGGCTCATAAGAGCCTCCTTTTCCATGTGATACTCCCGCGTCAACATGCACATACATTTAGTATTTATATAACCATAAGAAATGCTTGATGTAAATCATTCTTAAACTAACCACTTGTATGTTTCCATAAAGAAATGCATGCTTGATATGCTTATGTGTGCTTTTGCATGTAAGAGGAAAGACATGTATAGCATAAATAGAGAAATGAGCATGTGATCCATAAATTGTACTTTTACATAAAGAGAACTTTTGTATTTGCATCAAGTGTCCATAAACTTACTAAGGAACATGAGCCATAATAGTTTTCATAATGAGCGTAAGGGATTTGTCACTTCAATATAATTGCAATGAAAGAAAATTTGTTTAAAATTCATAAGAATATCCATTCCACCTACCTCAATTCGTACACCACAAGGCGAGCCTTCAAAAATCCTTATGCCCCCCTTTTCCTCTTATGAAATCAACTCTACAAATAACAAAACATAATCTGTAAACATAAGTTTCCTCCCTCAAACCTTAAAAGAAAACCCTAGGCAAAGCATGTAGCTAATCAACACATTAAGCATTGTTTTTTTTTTCTATTAAAACCCCTCACCTAATCCATGCTAAATCCTTTTTATCTTTACTAGAATTAGGATTTCATCCTAACTCTAGCTTTTGAAAAACCCCAACTATTAGGGCATGCAAAAACTTCTTCTAAAAAGAATCCATCTTCACAAAAAGACTTCCTAACCCCAATTAGAAACTTTTCTACAAAGGCATTTTAAGAGAAAATCCAAATCGAATAAAACCCTAGATTTCAAAGATCCATATTTTCATAAAAACTAAACACATTAGGGTTTAGAAACATCACACTACCCTTCCCTAAACTTTTCTCAAAGAAAAACCATGTTTTCTAAAAACCTAGAAATCTTTTCATTTAAAAATCTTGAGGAAGAGATGGAAAAGCATTGTTCTAATGCATACCTTAGCCTTTCCTTAATCTCCCCTACGATTTTCTCCAAGTTTGGCCGCCGGAAACCGCCGCCGGAGCCGCCCGATTCCTCTCCCGTCGCCTCCACCCGTGCGCTCCCCTCTCTCCTTGTCGCCTCCACCCGTGCGCTCCCCTCTCTCCTTGGCAAAAAGACCGAATGAGGGGGAGAGTGGGGGGTTTGGTTTGCCTAATAAGGAATAATGGGAAAGGCCTAAAGACCTAATTGCCCTCACTTAAGTAGATTTGGCTTAAGAAAGGCTGAGGGGTAGTTTGGGTATTTTTAAACTTCTAAAAATTATCTCTTAATTTAAGCGAAATTGAATACAAGTTCTATATATCAAACTTCTTATAATTTTTGCGTAGAATTTTTCAAAATTATTTCCATCAAAATCCAACAACCTCGAATTTTTTTCACTTAAATCTCGTCGCGGCGCTTTAAAAAGCGTGCGAAGCCTAAAACGATGTTTTGCGGATTTTACACTCACGTTCAGCAGAGACTGATCCGAACATCATCTCACCCCGTTTATGCATGTAAGAGCGAGCGAAACATGGCCTTGAGAACCGAATACAGGCCAAGAGACTTTCAATTTTCCCCGAGAAGCTCCAAACATTGTGGAGGGGGCACAACCTGATCTTTTCAGCACTTTGCGATTGCCACCACCATCGAGATCCTCTAGAATTGAACAACCTACTTTGAGAACCTTCCAATAGTTGCCAGAACATGTGTTCCTTCGACCTATGCCATTGTTGTTAAAGTTGGAGAGGAAGGAGGTGCCTTAGGACCACCTCCCATCATGGGAACTTCTCTCTCAAAGAACATTAGTGAGAGAAAGAAGCACGAAGAAATGAGAGCCCCCAAGGATTGATGTTGTTGTGTAGTTGATTGATGAATTGTAACAGATGCTTGCTTTATGCAGAGAATATTAAATCTTTTTATTGCGCGCCTCAAATCATTCGTGAATCAGTTGTGACCTTAGATCAATCTGCTTTCATCTTTAACATAAGTTCATTGTATTATTTTGCTTCTTGTTTTTCTTTTTGTCATGCATGCAGGAGCTGTTACTTGTGTTCAAACACAAGGTGGTTTAAAAAAAAAAAAACAAGGTGGTTTGACAAAGTATTTTCCTATTTTAGTTGGATTATATCTATGATCAGCCTTAAGCCCATATCTTTTTGCCTTAGTCATGGATGTTCTCACTAGTCATTTGCAAGAGGTTGTACCTTACAAAGGAAAATTAATAGCTTATCATTGAATTCTCAGCATAGAATTCAGCCCCCATAAAATACAAGCCACGGAATCCCAAGAAACAAGAAGAAAAGGGGAAGGGGAAGGGACAAGGCCACTCCAAAAGTAAACTTCATAATGATGTACCTTTTTGGATATTTATGAGCTACTAAACTTCAGCTCAAGCAACTTAGGGAACAAGCTCAATACCGAATGCTCCAAAACAACCAACCTGCGAACCAGCAGCAGCCAGGGACCAATCAAGCCAGCAAACCAAAGGTCTACCAAGCCATATGCACACCTACCATGATCATTGGATGCTTTCCCATCATTGGATAGCTAAAAAAAAGAAAAGAAAACAGAATATACTATTGTTCAAACAAAATAAAAAGTACATAAATCATTGATAGCATCAATTATGGAGGTCATCCTTAGAGTCTAAAGGTTTTCAAAGTTGATCTAAAACTAAATATATGGAATATAATTTTAATAGTAATAGTTTTTGTGGGGAGATTGTTACTTTGAGCGATCATATCATAAATAAGATTGCACACTTTAGTTATCTTGGGTATGTTGCTCAGAGTGATGGTGAAATAGATTGGGATATTATTAGTAGAATTCAAGTTGGATGGTTGAAGTGGAGGAATGCATCAGGCTTGTTGTGTGATAGAAAAGCCCCCCCTCAAATTTAGGGGAAAATTCTATAAGATGGTGGTAAGACTAGCAATTCTTTATGGTGCAGAATGTTGGCCATTAAAAGTGAAACCTAATATTAAGTTAAGTGTTGCAAAGGCGAGGATGCTCAGGTGGATTTGGGGCATTACTCTTAGAGACAGGATACGAAATTAACATATATATGAAAAGGTTGGAGTAGCTCCAGTGGAAGATAAGATTTCAAAGAGTCGCCTTAGATGGTTGGTCAAATAAAATGACGGCCTTCTAACGACCCGGTTAGGAAAGTAGATGTATTAGATTTGACTTATGATAAGAAAGGTAGAGGTAGACCTTAAGAACTTGGTTAGAAAATATTAGAAATGACCTTTATTAGATTTGAATGAGAATTTAACTCTTAACAGAACACAATGGAGAGAAAGATTCATGTAGCCAACCTCATGTAGTGAGATAAAGGCTTGATGATGTTGTTATTGTTATAAATTTCTTTTCACGCCTCAATTGCATCCCGATTTCAAATGTCATTATTTAGAAAATAATATTTGCTACTTTTCCTGGTATGGTATCCCTGAGGATACACTGGGTTTAGGGACATTTGCCTTTTGTTATGGTTTGGTATTATATAACATTGTAAAATGGTAGAATTTTTTTCATTGCCCAATATCTTTCTTTGGAAATTTGCACATAAGATAATACTTATATGTTGCCTGTCTTCTCTCTTTGTGAAAGAACTATTCTTTTGTGTTTATTGTTTTCCTTTTTAGGGCTTAACATTTTGCATTGTGTTTGATACTTCTTCACAACTCTTTAAATGATTTCCTTTGCTTTCAGTTATAATTTATCCATTGACACTGCATTTTAGTGTTGAGAATGGAACATATACATACAAGTGAATTCATGTTGGCAAAGAAGACACATTTAATGTTCTCTTATAACTTTGTTTCCTTTGAAGTTACCAAACCAAAATAAATTTGTGTTGTTGCCACTTTAAGATGAAAAATGCTTTTGTTTAAGGCGTTTCATTGGTTCTGTTGTTTTCTGCAGTTTGAAGTTCATCAACGTTGCCATGGTAACCGTTCTTAAGAATGTTGCCAATGTCATGACAGCTATTGGCGAAACATACCTTTTCAAAAAGCACCATGGAATCAAAGTCTGGACTGCACTAGTCTTAATGGTATTACCATCGCTGCTATTGTAGAATTCTGACATTTTGAATACTATAAGGCATACTTTCTCTAATTTAGTTACATGTGGCTTCCATGTGCTTATGTTGGTATTTTATGATTTAATATTCCGCCATGAAATATTTTTTTGTTCGGAAATGCTGAAGGGTCTTAAAACCCACAGGAAAGGAAATATAAAGCTAGAAGCTTGAAGTAAAAGAAAAGACTCCTATTTGGTGCTAACTTAAACCAAACTTATGATCTTTTATGCAAATGGTATTTACAAGTCTTTTGGTGTTAGGCACTAAGCTTGACGCCTTGGTTGCTAGGTCCCAAGTCCTAGATGAAAAAAGTGGATAATTACATTAGATGGTCGACAACCACCATAAAATTTGTCGAATATTCATGATATGAATCATTTAATACATTGCATTAATACTAGGGTGTTTCCTAGAAGCGACACACTATATGACATGAATACAGTGAAAAGTGTGTAAGGGTCGTTACTCTAGCACTCAGGCGTAGTGTTAAATAAGGGGTTTCACATCATTGGAAAATGTGGGTAAAGAGGTAGTTCATGAAACCAGGATTAGGATAGGAACTTGAAAAATAGGTTCTTTTATTGAAAAATTAATGGAATTAGATATTATAATTCATTGGAAGATATATATTTTATATATTCAAGAAACTAAATAAGTTGAAGAAAATGTTAAGGAGATTGATAGCTTAGAATTTAAACTTTAACATTCAGGTAGGATTTATATTAGAAGTGATGTAGATGTGATTATAAATATGTCTTAAGGATAATATTATAAAAATTAATAGAATGGGAGATAAAATTATAGCTTTAAAGATTATTATTAATATGAATATTATTAATATTATAAATACATATGCTCCTCTAATAAGTTTGAATATTTGTTCATTATTAAAATTTTAGAATAATTTAGAAGAATTAATATAAATGACACCTTTTAAAGAAAAAAAAATTGATTGGAGAAGATTTAAATGGATATTTTGGTAGAGTGATAGAAGATTTTAAAAATGTTTATGATGGTTATTAGTTTGGAGCGACTAATGAAGGTTATAAGATCATACTAGATTTTGTTATATATTAAAATTTTGTAATTTTTAATACATTATTTAAGAAGAGATAGTGGCATCTCATTACTAAGGTTTAAAATTGCGTAAATAAGCCTCGAGGCGGTGTGAGGCGTAAGCCTCATGGATGAAGAATTGCGTAAATGAGAATTTAAAGGTTTTAACAGGTAAATAATAGTAAGATTCTATCATACAATTAAAACATCTAAATGACAAGTGAAATTAGTGGAAAGTCATAAAATAGATGCAATAAAATCATGTCCCAAAGTATAGAACCACAAAATATTAGTCAATCAAAATTCCCAAAGTACAAATAAGAAAGAACATATAAAATCCAATCATGTCTCATCACTAAATGGATCTTCAAGAGAATTTTCTTCTCCAATTATATCTATGAATATTATATCTTCATCATCTTCAATATGACTCACTTTTTTCTTCCTTGTTCAATAAGAATGATTATTATCATGTTAATTGCCCACTTGATATAAATATAATGTAATAGCAATAAGAATTTATGAAATACCTTTATTTGGTTGTTGTGCTGCAGAACTAGTGGATGTGTGTGGTGTGGTACTAGTGGATGTGCCCACTTGATCTACATCGTCCCTCAAGACATTCACACTTAGATCCTCTAACTGCAGGTCTGATAATGAAAAATCCGTCTCATCATCTATGAACCACTCATTATCTCAGATGCCACATCATCACACACTAACAGGTCCTCATCATCCTTCAACCCCTTATTCCTTAACCTCTTATTCTCAACCTCTTGTTGTGCATAATATACACAAGGGAGTTCATTCTGAGTGTTGAAAGTCGATTTCTTCTCTCTGTTTGCACTTGACTATATATATGTACTCCAGTTTCGCTCACACCCAAAAGAAGAACAAGTAACTCTAACATCAAAACTCTATAACTCAGAGTTGGAATCACCAAATTAGATCCACCATTCAACTATTTTCAAGAAGAAAAAATGATAATCAGAACATATTAAAGTGTTATGCCTTTACAAAAATAAATATACCTAGAGACCGTTTGGCAATAATTGATTTTGCTGCTTGCAGACCAAAAAATCCCTCCCTATTTCAAAATATAACAAGTTATAAATCTACAAGCTCCTTGATGGTCTGGTCCGATATTAGTCGTTCCATGCAATGATAAAAGCTAAGCTTCACCTTCGGGTTTGAGGATTTCCTCTCTAAATATTGAAATTGAGGATTGAGATAATACGCCGCTGCATGTAGATGACGGTGTAACTGGACCTCCCACCGAGCATCAATGATATCTCAAATCTCTCTATAACTTACCTCCTCTCCTCCCAAGTTATGTGCAATCAACTCCTTCGCCTCATCCATTGCATTATAAATAAAATCCATGGCTGGTTTCTTCTTGGCATCCACTAAACGTAGAACTTGTACCAAGGGTCTTTTGCTCAATATGACATAGGTCATAGTAATCCAAAATTTATCATTTATAATTAGACTTCATATTTCCTTCCCCTCAGTTTTCTTCCCCCACGCAGAATTAATCCATTGTGTTGATGTAAACATCGCTTCAAGAGGTTGTCTCACATCCAGTAGGCTTTACAGTGTCAAATACGATGTGGCAAACTTGTAGAATAAACTTACATTAGGAATTGAAAGTGATTTGTAGTGCACAAACGTAATAACGAACCTAATGGTTGCAGGGCGAATGATTTCCTTCTTTGAAAACTTTTTCATTAAGGCTAAGACCCATGAGTGATTTTAGATGAACTTTGTGATCTTCTTTGCCCTAGAAAGAGCGCTCTTGTATTGAGGTAAACCACCAAGTTCTTCCAATATGAGATCGATACAGTGTGCTGTGCAGGGGGTCTAATACAGGTGTTTCCTCTTCTCCATCAATATCTGATCAGCTGCTTTGTATGCACTAGCATTGTCAATCACCACCTCAACAACCAATTGCTCCCCAATCTCCTCAACAACCCCTTAAGTGTGTGGGTCTCGGTTTCTAGAGGCGTGCGCCTCACACTGAATTGCACAATTTAGCCTCAGAGGCGCGCCTCACAATGAAAGAGGCGTACGCCTCACGAAGAGTCAAAAAGGCTTAAGCAATGAGACGATTTTGCCCAGAATTGCGCAGAGGCGCGCCTCAAGGCATGCCTCTGATTGCGCAATTTTAAACTATGCTCATCACTTAATAGAATAGACATTGTAAAACTCAAATTAATTATTTTTTATAAGAAAAATAGATCGTTTATATTTAAAAGATGTAAAGTCATTCCAAGTGAAAGTTTATGTATACAATACCACTTATTAATTTTATAATTTAAGATAAAAGGGATATAATATGAAAAATAAAGTAAAATATTACTCTAAGTTTAGATGAGATAATATAAAAAATGCTAATAAAAATATTTTTGAGAGTAAGATTTAAAATCTCAAAATTTTAGTTATTTTTAAGGAAGTTAATATTATATGGGAAAAAATAGTCTAAGGTTGTAAAGTATTTGTTTGAAGAATCAAAAGAGAAAGCTTTTAATAGTAAAAATAGTTGTTAGTAGAATCAAAATATGTATGAAAAAATAAAAAATAAGAATTTTTGTTATAAAAATTAGTTTTGATATAAAAGCTTGAAGAGTTGGAAAATATATAAAGAGAACTGTAGGTATATATATATATATATGTGTATATAGTAGATTAAATACTAAGGAGTGTGAAAGATGTATGTATAAGTTAGCCAAGCAAAAAAATAAAATGATCTAGTTCAAGTGAAGTGTATTAAGGATAAAGATAAAAGTATTTTTTTAAGAGATGATATTCAATATATGTGAATGAGATATTTTGATAAGTTTTTCACTGAAGATTATGAGAGTACAATTAGTTTTAGTTATCTTGATACTCTAAATGAAAATAGAGATTTTTGTTTGTATTGTCATATTAGTAAACTTGAAATTGGAGAGACTTTAAAGAAAATGAAGTGTAGAAAAGCAGCGGAACTTGTTGATGGGGGAATGCTTAGGAGATCAAGGAATGTCTTGGCTTACTAAAGTTTTACTATTATTACTAAGATTATAAAGATGACAGATGTGTGAAGAAGAGTGTTGATCCAAATTTTAAGAATAAAGGTAATGCACAAGAGTGTGTGAATTGTTGAAAAATTAATTTATTATGTCATACATTAAACATTACATTAAAATTATGGGAGAGAGCAATTAAGCATAGATTACAACATGATGCTAATGTTTCTCAAAATCAAATTGGGTTCATGCAGGGAAGTTATGCTTCTTAGTTATCCAAGAAGCTTTGACACCTTTTGAGTAGGTGTAAACTCCTAAGACAAATAGCACACGTAGAGAGAAAGGTAGAAAATCAGAAATTATTTTATTCCATAATATTTTCTTACAATAGGTGTGTTTATAATACTTGGGTAGACTAAATTTATAATATAGAACCAATCTACCTATAACAAAATCAAAGAAAGACTGGACTAGTACTTTTTTACATATATGAACCAATTTGTCATTTATGAAAAAAAGAATGCTAATATTTTATAATAACCAATAACTTGCAAATATTAATTAGTTCAATGAACTTGAATTAAAGAAAATAACATCATTATTATAAAATAAAAGCATGAGTACTCAACTTGAACTTTGGAAATGTGCTGCTTCACTTGCTCCGTATTCCAATAATGATAGATTTTACCTAGGAAGTCCTCGTCGTCAAATTTAAGTGAGAAATTTATCTTAATTTCTCTAACTTTTTAATTATAATTAATTTATGCGATTAACATGTTGGAGAATTTTTGTATCATTAAATTGAGGCTTAATTTGAATTAATTTCACCTCGACGATGATCAATTGAGTTGATCGAGCGCGATCGAGCTTTGTCGGGCTTGATCGGGGTCGAGTCGATGCGAAAATATTCGTCAACATAACATCTCAAATATTATTTATTAGAATTGTTCTCATTCTCTAGAACTAGTTATTTAATGCACATAGATATTTTTTATATTTACCTATATAAAAGACCTTATTAGTCATTTTACATACTACTAGTGAATTCTCTAATTTAATATTTTAAAATTCCTTATCTCTTTAAGTAGATTATATGCCATAACTTCATTATGCTTCTAAATTCAATTTATCATTTGATGGATTCATGACTTAATTTTAAATCTAATGCACTTATAATTACCTCAAAATGTTTTCTTCTCTTTTGCTTTGAATCAAGACACTCCTCACTATATTTTTCCTTTCTATTTGTTAATCACTTATTATGTTGTTAGTTAGAAAAGATAAAATAATTAATTGAAAAAATAAAATATTTATAAGTTAATGTAAAAGAACAATTAAATTCAATTACCCCTTCTATGGATATGAATGAAAAGTTCACTGATTTGTTTACCCTAGAATTTTCTTCACTTCACTTTTCAATTTCTTCTTCTATCTGCCTTTAAAATAACTTATCTTTTCTTAGGATTAAATCACAGAAGAAAAACAATATCAAAAGAAATGAAATTGAAAACTTGCTCTCTTCCTTCTTCCTCGTTGTCATTTCTCTCAACTGAACTTCTCACGCGATTTGCTGCAAAAGATATCAGTGAATAGAATGTTTGGCACAAGAGGTATCGCTAATTTTCACTCCTGAATGCGATTAGTCAGTTAGAATGGCGAAAAAAATCCTTCAAATAGGCATATACAAGCCGCACACGACTGCTCGGATCGCCTGTTTCGCGATCCTGCTCGTCTGCATGACCCCGCTCGTTGAACCAGATCAACTAGTTCTTACACAAAATTACAGGGAAACTCCTAAGCCCCACCCTAAGAGGGGATATTTGAAAGCTTATGAGGAATTTCTTGAGAGAATTTTTGGAATATGTGTGAGGTTTTCACATTGGTTGTTTATCCAATCACTTCCTTCAATTCTTATATGTTGTGGAGCTCTTGATGAACTTTGTGAAGATCTTGGGGAGGTCTTATGTACTTCGTGGATCTAGCTGAAGCGGCTAGGGTATGTGGGGTTTTCGAGGATAATAGCGTGTAAGGGTTTTTTAATAACCTTGTGGAGGAGCGAGACTTCTCTTTCTTGCTAGGAGCAAAAGGTGAGAGTTCCAGTAGAATTCTCAAGAAGAGGATTTGGAGAGTGGACATAGACACGTGGGTCAAACCACTATAAATTAGTTTACATATTTTTACTTTTTGTTTTTATATTTCTGCTCTTTGTTTACTTGCACTATTTCATATGCGATTGTATGTTGATTTGTGATATCGTTGTTGGATAATCAATTAAGAATCTTAATTTTATCTTGGATATATGATTAACTGTGGAAAATTATCTTTCTCCTAAAGCTTGCTAAATAAGATTGAAAAAATATTTTTTTTAGAGATGAAAAAGAAAAAAAAATTATCAGTTTGAGGCATATTTCTTGAACATGAATCTATGATATATTTTGTCCATGATTGTAAAGTATTTATTGTTTCACAAAAGTGGTAAAAAATGGTGTTTTAATGCTTCCGGGAAAATAATTATTAATTTTTAAAGACTTTAATTGATTCTCTCTTGGTTGTGCTGTATACTTTAACAAAGGGGACATAAATCCTCCTTGATTGATCCCAAGACATTTAACAACAACCACAGGTTCACGTCTAGGACTAACATCAACTTAATTTTAGCATAAAGTTATTTTGGTTATGTAGATTATAAAATTTGTGTGCTTAATATATTAATACCGAACAAAATGTGTTAAAAGTAATCTTTTGATGCCTATGTTTATTAACCATTGACGAATTGCTATGTAGTGTTGATTGGACCTATTGTATTTTCTCTTTTAGCTGGCGTTGTAACTCTTAATTTAGGTGAATCGATGTGTTTTTTATTTCTTTTCAGATAATCTCAGCTATTTCTGGAGGAGCAACAGATTTATCTTTTCATGCAGTTGGCTACTCGTGGCAAATTTTGAATTGTTTTTTGACTGCATCATACTCGGTAAACCTTACAGAAATCTATTAATGTTTGTCCTACATACTTAATTTGTAATGCATACTAATAGCATTTATTTTGCATTTTTTCTGAGAGTGCAGTAAGTTATATAATTTGGTACAGTTTTAAGTGTATGGTGTTGTATGATTTTTTTGCTAAGATATGCAGGAACAATATTTGCTAATTTGTAGAATATACAGTTTCTTAGATATACATACTTGGAATACATATCCAAGAGAGAGAAAGGGGATTCAAGGAAGCCTCACCTAACAGTGATATAGTAGATCATTTTATTATTTATACTTGTGAATTTGAGGTGTTGAATGCCTATTTCAGCTGGATAGTTTAGAAAATTATTTAAAACAAAAGTGTATGAGAAGCAAATTTTAGCTTCAAACCTAAATATGAAAATCAATTTGGGCGTCTGTACTTAATACCCATGTCATGTAATTAATCTGCATTGCCATAATATCAAAAATCAAGTGCACCTACTTTGTGCTTCAAATTGGCATGTGTTAACAGAAAGCGTTTGCTGGATGTGGAGGATAGAGTTGTCCTAAGCAGAGAGGCTATGTGTCCAGCTGCAATATTTGATATGTATTGCTTTTACCATATTGGTGCTAACAGTTCCACTTGGACCCGCTGTTAAGGACAAGTTCTTTGGGAAGAAAAGAAACTTCAGTTTTTGAACTGCACCCATTTCCAGAATAATAATTAGCAATGTTAACTTATAAGGTAGAGTTTTCATTTGCTAATCATCCTTGCATATAGCTTTTCGTTCTACTTGAACAATAATTAGTTGCTATATTCATTCTGGTTATTCACTTCTATGAATTTCTCTATTAGTTCTAAGAATTTTGGTTTATATATTTATATATATATATATATAATATTTCATAGCAACATCCATGATACTTGTATAAACTGAAAATGGTTTTTTTTTCATCCAGTTATAATTCAGCATCCCTGTTATTACAAGACATTCTACTGTACTCTTTCTTATTGTTTTGCTGCATATCTTCCATCTGACTTTTATCTGACAAATGCTTTCTATAGTTGACACTGCGCAGAGTAATGGATGTTGCTAAACATGCCACAAAATCTGGGAACTTGAATGAGTTTTCGATGGTTTTGCTCAATAATGTCTTGTCCTTACCTTTGGGGATCCTGCTTACAGTTTCATTCAACGAAGTAGACTATTTGTCTAAAACGTAAGATTATTGAACTTCAATTAATGATTCCCCCACACGTAAGATCATTCAACTTGGATTCATGATTCCTTCTCAGCCATTATTCCTTCTGGTTGAGCTATATTAGGTTTTTTGTCTATGTTTATGTGTTGAGGATTTTCCACCTCTGTTAGATTTGGCCGATTCCTTTTCTTTTGAGCTGCTTTTTAATTTAATATCTACTAAGTTAAATTTGGATGAAGTTTTTGTTTCAGAAAATATATTTGAGTTTAAAATTTTATTCTCTCTTGAACATTAGAGTTGTTTGTTCTTGTGTTCTAACATTTTGGAGCAATGGATGCTTTTCACATTGTATAGGGCATTACATTAAGACATAATATGAGAATTTGATTTGTTGTTTAAGGGGATCATAAAACATTTCGCTACATTAGATACTTTGGTAGCATAGTCAACAAATACCATAATTCAAACCTAGTTACCCCGCCTTTCTCCCTTTTTTCTATCTAAGAGGCTTTAGGCTCTAGCATCAAGATCAAGTCAAATTCAAACCCAAAGTAGATCCATGTTCAGATCCAAAGTCAAGTTCATAAATCAACCTAGTTTTATGAAAGATACAAGGTTATGTGGTGTCTTATAAGTGGGCCACAATTCAAATCGAAGGAGCTTGCTTTAAAGTCTTTAGTTTTTGGTCCTACAATCAGGCTGACCACATAAAGGAGTGAGTAAATTATTTTATAACTCAAAGCAAGGATTTGTCTAGATGCAGATAGGCTTTATGCAAATAATAAAGAAGGTTATCAAGATAAGAATATTCTCCTATCTAATAACCTATCTTTCAGGTAAATGATAAGTTAATAGTTCTTATTATTTATCATGTTTCCTAATGTTTAGATTTTTATAAATAATATCTTATTTTTAGGTTTTCAGCATTTAAATAATTTGAAAATTCTTATTATCTTGAACCAAGAAAGCCTGTACATATCTTGGTTCTCTTTCTCTCTTTTTCGTATGTTGACTGATCACATCAAAATGCCCTTTGCATGCTCCAACCAGCTTTTCTTTTAGTCGACCTAGCCACCTATCACGACTCTTTCTTTGGAAGATTCTGTTTACCCGAAAAATACACGAGGGGAAAGGATTTCTTGAGCATCAAAGGAAGTTGGAAGCATATCAAGCAAGAGAAGATAAGGACAATAAGCCAAGTGAAAAGCAAGATGGAGGAAGAATTATGGAAATGTGATAAAAGGAATTCAATTTAAAGAGTTCATTACGAGAATTGATAAGGCTTTAATTTATACTAATTTGTAAATCATATACTTTCAACTCTTTATTGCATTATCTCACCCTCCTTACTTTCTTTACACACCATGTCCTCACCATTAATCCCATCATTTACCAATTCATCTATAATAAGAATAACCTAAATCCAGCCTTTCCATCTATAAGGGGACCACTATCATTGCTTTACAAACTGTGGGCTCCGAAAATTCAGCCCCGGCCTCCGCCCGACTACAACAACCCGGCCTCCGCTCGACTGTTTGCTTTTTTTTTTTTCGGGGGAGTTTTAATGGAATAAGTTATGGGGTAAATTTTGGAAGGCAGATGGGTTTGTAGATAAGACACTACCCAGAGATTTCGCCCTCATTTTGTGAGGACTTTATAATCTGAGTTCTGGTTTCCTATAGGCGCAAGCCCTATAGTTAATTACCCCTCCCGGTCACGAGAAAGAACTTTCGATTAAGGCTAGTCGTCAATCAGATACATAGAGATGCGTAGTATCTGGCATATAGTAGCAACATTGGTTTGGATTTGAGAATTTGAAGATTCTGAAGGGTTTGGATGTTGGAAGTTCAAGTTTAATATTTAAAATATAAATCTTCACCATCTTGCACTTAAAGCGGATGGTGGGGGAATGGATGATAGACCCGATCAAAATCCCATGGTTCCGTCGTCCCGGGCCATCGTGGTCCCGGGTCTACTTAGTCAGAGGAGGTAGTCGACCCAACATAACAGAAGGATCCTTGTCAGTAGCCATGAGTTGCTTCGTCCAAGGAGACCTTGTTGACCTGGGGTGAATGTTTGTCTAATGGGATAAATTTGAATCCACCTTTATTAATAGAGGGCTTTGTGCCATATCGATCATATCCTATTGATTCATATCTCAAGGATTTGATGTCATTAAGGAGTGTATTGGCTCTGGCCATAATCGGTATTTCGTGGTGCCATTTAGCGGCAAAACCACTCGGTTTAGAGGCCCTAGGTCATAACCAATTATCCTGCGGTGTCATCTAGCGGCAAAAGCGTCAGTCAAAGGACACGTATTACTTCCTTAATGGCAGGAGATTGTTTGAGAATGATCCCTAGTAATATTTTCGACTAGGCATTAACTCTATGTGAGCCGAAGTAAATTTAGCTATCTCAGCTCGGCAACCTATTGCGGAGGGTGGATGAATTTTGCTTTAAGTGTTTGATGGATGGATTTCAATTTTAAATATCTTGGACTTTGGATGATTTTTGGAGTTTTGAATTTTGATGAGCATTTGGATATAATTTGAAAGTATTTGTAAACCCCTCCGTTGAGATAAACATTCAATATGGCCATCAACGGGGTGTATTTGAGGTCATTTCCATTTTGTGGATGAACATTGTCAACTCTGTGGAGCTATTAATAGAGGATCGGGTTTCTCAAGCTTGATGCCTTTGTTTGTGAATTCTCTTGATTATAGGTTTTGAAGGCCTAATATGTATGTATTAAAATAAATACACCGGTTGCCTCAACCGTGTATTTATTTGAAGGTTCGAACACTGTCGACTCCTATTGATCCGCATAGAAGGATCTTGTTCGAACTTGAATTCACTTATTGACCCACGTAGCATTCCTAGACGTCATGTGTGTTCCTACAACACGCACGCCGGGGCCCATGAGGGTGTTTGACTACATACCCCCTTTTAGTGTACCTATGTGTGTATAAACTATAGTGCATGTGCAGGGATATTTTGGGATGCTTGAAAGATCTTCCACGATAGTCCGTAGAGATTTGCATTTTGATGTAGTCATTTTGTATTTTGTATTTTTTTTAAACATCATATTGGGTGTAGAATAGATCGCCTACAATAGTTCGTAGGAGCTTGCATTAGCCGTATTCTTTATGCATTTCAGTATGATTTTGGTCCTCACAACACATCCACTACTGCTGCAGGTAGATGTATTCATTCGTAGACTGAAATTGACTACAAGATACTGCATTTACTGAAGTCTTTCTGTATCTACCTAGAGATAGCACGTTGTACATACATCTATATCCATAAAGAGGTTGTATGTATTGCAGATCTTCTGGTGTTATATAGGGGTTTTTGCATTTATCACATTTCTTCTATGTTTGTCTGTAGATAGTGTATTGCGTATATGAAGAGTCTTCTACAACGACTTGAAGGAGTTTGCATTTGTTGTATTTCTCACCATCCATTTCTTCATATGTGCTGGTTATTATCATTTGAGGGAGTCTAGTGTATTTGTTTACACTTGAGTGACATCAGTTGTGTATGAGCCTTGTTGTTCTATCCATGAACACACTAATACACTATTGTAATCAAGTTGTTTCCCCTCGTTGTTTGCAAGCATGCTGCATTTATTGTGTATAATAAATAGCAAATTACTATGCCTATTATATTGCTTGAAGGCTTATGGCATGAATAATAACATTATCGTTATTTCCACTTAACATTAGCAACTGGATTGGCATAATCATCATGGACGGATTGTATCATTCATTGGGGGCTTCTTTCGTTAAATGCTATCCAATTTTTTTGAATGAACTTGTGGATCCACTGACATGGGCATTTAGGCCACACATTGCTTATGTGTAAGTTGAAGATCCTTTATAATAACATGCCTTTAAGAATAGTTCATGGTCTACATGATAATTTGTTCATTGATACTTTCTTGCTATCGTTCAAATGCTTCAAATTGATTGGATTCCATTTATGTACACTGAAGCTTTATCATCCCTAAGTTTCATGTGGCCTTTTGATTCAAGTCAAGTTCGAATCAACTTTGATTTGAGTCTTTTGATCATTTGAATTTTGAGTTCAAATGATCCAATCATATCCATTGAGATCTCAATTAGTTTGAGTCTCAAAATGAGTCTTCAAAATCTTTGCTTGTGTTCAAATCATTCATGTCATGATTCATTTAAGTTAAGTGACGTTCAAGTTCATATTCATACTCACCATGCTTGATTCCAATCAGGTCCAAGCTTGCAAATCCAAGCTTACAAATTCTTTTGTTTGTGTTCAAACCAAGTTCTCATATATATGATTCAAGTTTGAGTTCTTTGTCAAGTTCAAACTCTAATCCAAGTTTGAATTCAAAGTCATTGTAGCTCATATCACATTCAAGTTCAAATATAAGTTCTTGAGTCTATTATTGCTCAATCAAGTCCAAATCTTATATTGTTCCTTTGAATTCAATCAAGTTCTCTTATATTATTCAAATTCATTTGAGTTTAAGTTCAAGTAGTTCATTATGATTGATTCAAATCAAGTCCAAGTTCATAAGTCCTCTGCTCAATTTATTTTCATTTGTTAAGTTCAAATTTTGTTCAATTTAATTTAAGTTTAAGTTCATTTAAGTCCAAATCAGGTCCAAACGCGATCGTATATCCACCCGAAATTTTGGCAGTCTACCGGCGTCTCCCCCGTTTAGGAGAAAACTACGGAAAACTGGGCCTCCCGCCACGCTAGAGAAAAGGGTGTACGGTAGGTGCCCTCGTACGAGGACACCGCGGCCATAAAATCTTCAACCCCACCACGCTAGAGAAAGGTGTGTATGGGTCTTCGGTACTAAGAAAAAGCATGTATATGTGGTCATTTTTGTTGCGTTGCAAGCGTCGAAAACAGGTTCTCAGAATTTTAGGGTTTAGGGATTATACCTTTGCGACCGGCGGGAGGAGGGTACAAAAATTGAGACAACACACTTTTTATTTTCCTTCTTTTTCTTTCCTTTCCTTTTTTTTTTACAC